TATATATATAGCAACAGAAATACAAAATTGCAAGTTTTATGAATTTGTTGAAATTTGAATAAATTTGAAATGCTATTGGGATTTGTTTTTATAAGTTTTGATTAGATAGACACGAGTATTTATTATTTCATTTATAAATTTATCAATAAAAATAAATAATGATAAATATTTCGCATGTAATATTTCAATTGAGTCACGTTATGCGTACAATGGGAGTTATTTTGATTAGCAAGTTGAATACTACGTTAATTTTACATGGTTTGTTATTACGTGTTGCACATATTATTTAGGAAATACAAGTTAAAAGTATTTGTAACTYATTTATTTATTTAAACAGTGGGGTGTCATCTATAATTATTACAAAATTCTCAACGTAATAATCAAAGTCCCTACTTCTGTATATTTGATATAAAATTATATTAAATTGAGTTGGCAAGTAAATAATTGCAAATTTTGTCGATAGGTGGCTTTAAATAATCAGCAATAACTTAATTGCCAACCCAATAATAAAATATAGAAAAATATACCTCAAAGTCGATATCGTGTGCAAGAAAATCCTCGAAACTGTCATTAGTGTTTTCTTCACCACCAAGGGTTCCTGATAATAATTCTTCTTCCTCTACCAAACCAGCCCAATCTGTTTGAACAGCAGTCGATACCAAAGGACAAGACAAGTTTTCTTTTCCTAACTCATCTTCGCTAGTTTCTTTCTCGTTTGTTGTTCCTTCGTTCTTACTAACACTATTACCATGATTTGATCTATCATGTTCCCTCGATGGGGTGTGAATAATTTGTTGTTGATGAGTTGATGGTTGTCTTCTAAGTACCTCGACGATGATCGGTTCTTGTGCCGATTGAAAACAACGTACTGCATCTTCGTGACTCGAGTTAGAAACATCTTGTCCGTTTACCTAAACAAATTAATACAATTATTATTATTATTAATATTATTTTTGAAATATATAGTCGTGCATTATGTACATGATATTAATTTAATGATTTATCATATTAAATCCCATGAATGTGATATGTGTACATTAAGTCATTTGAATTCTGAAAAGAATATGGGTATTCTATTGTTAACCTAAAAGATGATTTGATACAAATAAAAAGGAACTAGATTAATAAACTTTTGTATATTAATGTAATATTTAAATTTTTTCAATTAAATGAAATATAATATATTACATTTTGTAAAGTTAATCGATAATTCTTGTAAAAAAATATCTTTTTAATATTCCACATAGGAGCCCGTATTTGCACGTATCTCGTAATCAAATATGGCAATGTTTCATGGGAAAACATATTTTTACATTTGATCTCGACAATATATTATTTTCGATTATAATACTCAGATTTATTACTTCTAGAAAACAAACATTAATAAAAAATGTGTACACTCTTTAGATAGCACTTTTAAAAACATTCATTTACGTTTTCTCCTGGTTGCATTGCACAAGTGTAGGAGGAAGAGTTGGAATTTTATTTTTCAATATTGAAATCCTATTAAAAGTAAAACAACGTTTGCGTAGAAATATCAATAATAGATCAGAATTATTTCGTATAATAATAAGATAATAAAATAAAGAAATAAAAAATAAAAAAAATATCCTTTACTAGCGTAACGAATGCGTGTAATTTAAAAATCCAACCGAAATGGCGAACATTTTTATAAACGCGTGTTCGTGACAGATTGAAAAAGCGATGGGTAACGATGGAAAATGGGTGGGAAAAAAAAAAAAAAAAAAAAAAAAAAAAAAAAAAAAAAAAAAAAGAAAAATTGTCCTGCGACTACTAATTCAACTGCAGACTCGCGTACACATTTAATTGTTCGTTCGATTTAATTGAGTTTTTTTTCTCTCTCTCTCTCTCTTTCTCTTCGGATCCAAAAAATCTACCTTTCTTGTTTTTGGTTATTTTTTAAAATTTATTTTATTGTCAAATTAGTCTCGTTGGTACCGTCCTGTTCGAAAGTATAAAATATGGTGTCATCCACCCTATGCGTGTTTCAAATCATAAAATGTGTGGATACAAATTGTACAGATAAATAAATCGATGGATAAAGATAAAAAGATAAAGATAGATAGATAGAGAGAGGAATAAATTAGTCTAAAGGATTTCTAAATATCGAACGAAAGTACCTACGAACGTAACCACGGAATTAGAACAATGTGGCGTAATCATTTGGGTGGTCATTGATCAACCAGATTGGGGAGAAGGGCTTTTAAATAGTCGAATATTCACCGATCGTATCTCCAATTAAACCTAATTCCTCCCCCGAGGGGCAAGCTAATGTCCGATCAAACATTTACCCTCGCTCGAGAAAGCACGAAAGGATCATTTATATTCTGAGAGAGGGGTAGGTAGGTAGGTAGGTAGGTAGTAGCACAGGTGGGAGACTTAATTTGTCACTAAGTGCTTGGGATTTTAAGGATACCAAATTGAACTTAAAAAGGTACTTTGTATTCTTAACAAAAAAAAAAGGATTTTTTTCTCTACAACGTGTTTCAATTGTTAAATTGTATTTTTGTTTAGGTATGATGCTCTTTTATTAATTTATTATTATTAGTAGTAGTAGTAGTAGGAGTATCATAGAATAATAAAAAAAATGATCATTTTGGTTATCTATATTTTTTGATAAATTGTATTACTGTTTAGCATGATGTTCTTTTATTTATTACTATTATAATTATTATTTATTATTATTATATATTTTATATATTATTATTACCATATAATTATTATTATAAGATTTAAGTATATATTATATATAATTATATAAATATTATATATTATATATAAAATAAAAAATATAAATAAAATATAACATATATTATATATAATATTTAATTAAAATATGAATTATTATAATATTATAATATTATAATTATTATTAGTAGGGATATCATAGAATAATAAAAAAAAAAAAACCATCATTTAAATTACCTATCTTTTCATTTTAATTTTATTTTTAAAAATTGCATTACCCCAACAATCTTAATAATATTAAGAACCCCTACTTATTTGTCATAAAGAAGAATTGTCAAGAAAAATAAAATAAATCTTATAATTCGTCTATTGTAATTTTGAAATGTTTGTTTTAACACCCAACACACATATAAAAGAAATCTAAGAAGAAAATAATAAAAGTCATATTCTGCTTTGTAAAACATTAAAAAGAAACGCACAAATTGCTCTTCTCACCTTTCCTTATTATCAAACTAATATTAACAAAGGTATGTACATATAGAGGAGAATAAATCGTACAGGGTGGTTTGAGAATATGGTAAATGGGGTTGGTTGATAAATAAAGTTATATCTTTTCATATCTACCAAACCGTAATCGCATTCTACACTACAATGTGTTTTTAATTTATTATTATTATTATTATTATTATTATTATTATTATTATATTGTCTCATATAAAGAAGAAGAAGAACAAAAAAGAGAAAATTGTTATACAGGTATATTAACGTTTTATATATATGCATTAGGATGGTAAATAAGTAAGAGGAGAATGCGGTTATTTGCAATTTCTTTTTAGTCACAATTCTACACCGCGCGTATCTTTTTGCCACCCCCTATTGAAAATAATTAACAAAAGTCATCATAATAAAGCGTATGGAATAACGCGTATTTACTTTATTTATATCCCTGAATAATAAAACAATGGTAACAACATTGTTCCAATTTTTTGTTCTTCTCTTTTCTTTTCTTTTCTTTCATTTTT